AAATTCAAATTCTTGCTGCTTCATCCCCTAACCTTCCATCCTTAAGGTGACTTCTGAACATTAAAGCAAACCTAGAACTTTTCATTTTCTTTCACCACAAATCACTAGTCAAATGTTTTTCATATTATTGCCATCAAAGGAATGCGTAAAATTTTGCAACTGTTCTCTGATGATTGGGGTCCCTTGTGTATAAAACAAATGCCAAAATATTAGAGTTGTGATTTGGTTTGTGCAAATAAACAGCTATTTCTTTTAATATTTTGTCTATGGACTCAATGACGTAACAGTTGATGCTTGGGATCCCCACCATCAGCCTGCTGTAGCTAATGGGTACCTGGGGCTCTTTCCTGAGGATGAATTCTGCCAAGGCATGAAACTGTTTAGATGTCTCCATCTTGTACATTGTATCATAAAGTATTACATAAACACCTTCATATTCTGCCAATATTTGGAGAGTCTCCTCTGTTCCCTTATGAGCAGATGTCACCCGTAATTGGCAAATCAAACCAAGTTCTTTGCAGTGTTTGGCAATTTTTTTACAGTAGTCTTCATCTGATGGTGAGCCCATCAGCACTACAACCTGGAAAATATTAGCATAAAATCAGGGATATTTAACTGAATTAAATATTCATTGAACATTAACTGTAACATATATTCCATTCATGACTACTTTCTGTGGAATAATTATGAATGTTAATTTATTTGTTAAGTGAATCATGATCATAATTACAAGACAGCTTGTATCCAGAGTTAGGTGACCAAGTTGGTCAGCGACCCATTTAAAGTTACACTTCACAGTGTCCAAATCTTCCTTGGTGACAGTGCTGAGATTACGGTACACCTGTTTATCTTTCATAAGCCTCTTGTCTCCTGAAGGCCAAAGGCGCCATGAATCACTGTCAATAACATCAGCCACCAAGATCTCGCCTGAATATAAAAGATGCATCATTAAATTTTATTCTTACAAAATATATTCTATTTGAAACATTTAACTCTCTAGCTGATAATTGTAGGACAGTGCCTGTACAATAACTGTCAGGCTTGTTCTTATAAGTCTCAGTGTACAGACATTACTGAAAAGTTTTAAGTCACGCTTAAGAAAGTTTTTGAACATTCCTACTCTGGAGCATATCATATGATATATGTGTTGAGCTCAATAACACTTTCAAAACAACAAACAGTGGCTTTGGAAAATGTGTGTATTTCATTGGAGTGGACCTTTTCACCTTGTTGAGAAACTCTAGAACTTGATTACCATAACACATCTGATTCATAGTGTACAGGCAGCAGGTTCTTCATAATTTTTTCAGTTGTGTATTGGGAGTGATTGTCATATGGAAGGTTATTTATGTTGACCACTTCTTGACATGATAAGATCTAGAATTTTGAAATTTGACATACTTAAGGATGCAATAATTTCCACATTCTGGCACAATTACAAGAATTATTCTGGATGTTTAATTTACAGATAATTGTTGTTTGCCATTCTGTGTCCATAGGGATTCCTCTTTGACCTTTTAGCATGTATGTCTGATCTGGGCAAAGGTTAAGGGAATATATCTCCTGATAACACACAGCGTGACAGTTTTGTTGTTATGCGTGTGTGATATCTTGTCACCACGTCAATCCAACTTCACTGTTACGATTATACTAGCTGCTTTAATCATTGTACAGTTAACTATTCCATGAGGCATAGTCCTCCTTCAGAACCTTATATTAGTTGTAGTCAGCTGGTCAAGAAATTCCGTCTTTTATGGAAGTTTTTATCAAGTATCCAACCTGGGAGACCTAGACAAAGATGGGAGGATAATATTAAAATTAATCTTAAAGGTACAGGATATGAGGGTGAGGACTGGATTCATGTGGCCCAGGATAAAGACTTGTTAACACACTATGTACCTTCATAAATTATAAACAGTATAAAGTTTCTTGATCAGTTAAGTTACCATTAGTTTCTCAAGAAGGACAGTTTTCAGTATAATTAGTTATAGTAAAATGGAACATGAGTGAAATTCACTTCGTATTTAAATGGGTCCTAGAGAAAGTATTGTTTTGGGATATAATTAATTTGATCAAGTTTTTGTTAGTTCTTTCACTACATTATATTTTATGAAACAATAATTGTCTCTGTATATGCCCCATCAGCATCATAATAATGTAACTATACTCTTGTTACATAACACATTTTGTCAAGGATGGTAAACACACAAAATAAATGAGAATAATGTACAAAAGCATTCAGAAGTGACAGTACACATTAACACTTTTCTTTGTACACTGGGTATTTTTAACTTTAATAAGTTTGCTTGTCAGAATGGTTGATTGGTCAGTTACCTAGCCTGTCTCGTATTACAGTATCAAAATAACAACCCCCCTCCCATTAATCCCAGCATGAATGCATATATATTAAAAACAAAGAACCACAGAATTTGTTTCTAACACAAGCAAAAGTAAAGTAAATTTTTGTGTACCTTTTGAGTCTACTCCAAACTCAATTTTCATGTCAATAAGGGCACAATTCCTTGTTGCCCATGCTTTCTCTAGCACTTCAAACACGACCACAGTGGTCCGTCGCATGATGTCCACCTCATCCTGCCCAATTGTAAGCCCATTCACCTTGAACTGCGCTGACACAATCTGCTCCTCTGACCACTGTGGGTCATGGTTTGCATCATCCTACCAAAGGTCACATAATGAAATCAGAAACATCATGAAGAATAATACACTGTTCATATTTAATACAAGAGTAGTAAGGAGTAGACAATTTTCAAAATGCCTTTTCCACAGTTTCTCTTACACCATTGGCCTTCATTTGCAATTACTGAGATGCAAACCTATTGTTGCAAAGTAAATCATGCTAAAGATATCACACTGCAGTCAGTAATTACTTTGCCATGTATTTTGTTAAAGATTCAAAATATTAAAGGAACATTTAAAATAAAAGTTATATATTTTAATGAGACCTTATTTTATATCATGTGTCAGAATTTTTGTGCAATATGTCTGTTTGATCTGAGCTTCATTTAAAGTAGGGGGTTATATTGGACCAGTAGGAACCAAAATTAAGCTTGCCTAAGAAGTTTTAGTCTCTGTTCCACCAACCCCCAGTAAAATTTTTACAAAAGTTAATTTAGAGATGGGAGGGAAGTAATACCTGTAATTCCTGTAATATGTTCTGTTCCATGTATGTCATGTGAAGAATGGATTAAAAGGCACTGAATATAACATAAGTAACAATAATTACTTTGTAAAATGTTTCCTGTAGAGGAGGACTGAAGCGAAAACCTTCAGGCACTCCTGGGTGCCTCTTCAGGAAGGACCCTGTTGCTAAGCGGCGTGTCACCCACTCAATAGGAACCATCTCACATTTTCTTGCTATAAAGGATTTCTCTCCAGCAGATTTCACATATGCAGTTTTGAGCCCTATATAATGCAGCAAAGGTATTAAGAATATAGCTCAGTACCTGACTCATTTTCTGTTGGCACTAAAATGAGTCATTACTTTATAATGACAAATTTAAACATAATTAACATGTAAAATAACTTGCATTCTTAGACCATAGCTATCAGTGGGCTGAATATCATGGTTCAATATACCACTGCCAAATTTACACAATTAATGACATCATGATCCAGCACTGAACTCTAAAAAGGCAGAATCATAGATGGGTAAAAATCACAGTCACACATTTAGACTCTTTGTCCATCAACTCATGAAATGAAAACAGTGCTACAAGTAGAATAAGAAATAACACTACTTGTTAGGTCTGTAGTCCAGATTTCTAAAGGAGTTTTAATAACCAACTTCTTATCCCAATCCTGGTCAGCCTTTGCTTTCACACCAGTTGCCCCCTTTTGCTGTTCAGAATCATCTCACTTTAAACAAAAATTCTCCATCTTTCTCAAAGTGGCATTTCTTGACATACTAGTTGACAAATAATGTAATTCACAAATTAAAATTTAAAAAAAAGTTAAAAACATCAGGTCCACAATGATTATACAAATGTTACAAAACAATAAAAAAATCAATATAATTTTTGATTAGGTCAAATATACCATCAGTCCCTGTACTAACCAACAGAACTGAGAATTTCAAACACCCTTCCATTAGTTTGATTAGAGATAGCAGCCTTGCCCTCCAGATCATGTGCTTTGATGCCATCTCCTGCAGTAATACGGTCTTTGCTCAACACCAGAACATGGCCTGGCATTGCTGGTAGGTCCCATACCTGCTTTGTTTTGCCCTCTATGATCAGGTGCTCAAACTTGTAATTATCCACTGCAAAGTACACACAAACACTGTCACATTCTAATTAGTAGCATGGAACAGGCATCCCCTTCTTAGTGCATATTTTTGTTTCACAAAAAAAAATCCTAAAAAGAATAATAACAGAGAAACCATTTGGAAAGTAGAATAATGTTTGTGGAACAGGTTGCTGTTTTGTTACAAAACAGTCTGTATAAAATGCATCACTCATGAGGAAACAAGAAATGCATACAAAATGTTTGAACATGAGCATCATGAAAAGAATCCACTTTATAGACAGTAGAGATGATAAGATTACTTTAAAATGAATCATATGTAATTACATGAACTTCACCGACAGGTTCCATAATACCAATGAATTGGAGACAATAGATTGAAGTCACTCCAGCAAAAGCATGTTTAGAAGAGCTGTCTTTTCAGTTTGTTTCAGAGTATGATAGGTCATAATGAATTCTTCAAAGGCTAGCAGCTGTGTCTAGTGGTTTAATGGAGAAAACACCAACGTTTAGAGAACCGTCCTCATCCTCAGGGTACTAAGTTCATGATAGGTCAACCACCAACTCAGCTGATCTCTGTTTATTACATATCACTTTGTAATTTATGGATAACAGAGGTATTACGTATAAATACCGTAAAACTGTGTCTGCATTTCAGAGGTATGCAAGTATTCCAGGCACAAAAACATCATTGTGCGTTTGAAAATTACTCACCAATACCAGTCATATCTGGAGTGTAACGGTACAAGCGTCCGGCGTCAGTTCGGCCTTCTAGACTACTAAATTTTCCTGTTCAGTCACTCCTACCACGATTGGTAGCGGATGTTTGTATTAATCTAGTATTGGTAGCGTGCTTATACTCGCCCCTACATTTAGCGTCAATCCATGGCAGCAAATAAATCACCTTTCTGTTTGTTGTGTATAGTCTTCGCAGATTTATCGGTCACGTGGGACGGAGTTCCAGCAAATCGCTAAGCTAAGAAATGAAAGGCAAGAAACAGTGGATCAGGGCACATGGGTAGTTAGTAAGTAGCATAGAGCGTGGTAACCAGTTTGTTAGTGACTGCGAAGTTAGGTGGAGTGTATACAACGTAAGTACAAGTGCCTTGTGAAAAGTATGTCATAAACTTAATTCTTATGCATTTTAAGGTGGTTCTGTGCAGTTTATCATGTTCTGTACGATTTAATTACTTAGAAGCCAACTTTTGGTTCATTGCCAGGCATATGCAGTGGCCATGAACATGCATACAAGTGGTTTAAAACACTTTTTGGCTGGAGGCTACAGTTTCTTGTGACTTTGTTATTCCGTCTTTTTTGACATTAATAGGCATATTCACTGAGCACATTTTTCGAAGTGATTTGCATGTTTTGTTAGTTCTCGGTTGTGGCAGCGAGTAAAGTGAGTAGTCACTCCTGTATGTTTTGTTTACAATCAGTGGCGGTCTTACGAAACGTTGCCATTAACAATTATCTATTAAAATGTAATATTGCTACTGTACTAATAAATGTAGCATTTAAGTAAATTCTTATAATAGGCAAAGTTTTATTGAGAGATTATTATTGACTTCTTTTGCGATGTACAACCTTTATCTGTTTTCAAATGAATGCCATTCATACTGTGTTTAAGACATACACTTTCGCATACTATCAACCACGTTTGGTGAGGTCAAATTCACACACGCTTATCGAGCTTGCAAGGAAAGGGTGTTGAAAATTACACGGAGTCGTGGGTTCGAATGACTCTATGGCCATGCGTGTTTCTGTGTTGTCCACTTAGGTAGTAGCTCTGTGATAATTTGATCCCCCATTCAGAGTCATGTTTAATGTCTAATAAATTCAATTAAATAGAAATTATATCACAACGGCAGAAGGGCACAGTTGTGTGGGTGTGAAACATGGTCTCTCGCTCTGAGGAAGGAACATAGATTGCAAGTGTTGAGAATATTTTGTAACCGGCTGGACCTTGTTTTGACGTCCGTATGCTTACACTGCTTTCATTATTCTTGTTATCAATCTGTTTATGATTGTGTATTGGAGTTATGAGAAAAAATGCTGCGGTGAAGTCCCTTTGAACAAAGAAGTGATTATAATATTAACGCGTAAGCTCTTTAGGGGAGGAGACCAGGTGGGAGACTCTCTGAGTGCGTCTCTTTGAAGGAATGAGACCAGTGAAGTATTATAAGAAAGTCGAAGGAGAGAGACCAAATTTATATTATAAGCGCGTTTCTATGTAAAAGCAACTATTAAGTAAATGTACTGAATTTTAAGTGTAGTTGTAACTTTATTCTACATTCGATCCCCGTGAGTGACCCTGAGTTAGCTGGAGCAAATCGAGAAGAGTGGACGGTTATAATTTGGGCCCAGGAGAGAAGAGGATGGAGTATGGAGAAAATTGCATAATGATGACTCATTTCTGAAAGTTTGTGACGATGGTGCGTAGTTGAAGCAAACTGCATAATGATGAGCTTCAATTTTATACTCCTACCCCAATATTGTCAGGGTGAGTAAGTCGAGAAGAATGAGATGGGCGGGGCATGTGGCACTCATGGATGGGGCAAGAGGTGTGCTCCGGGTATTGGTCGGGAAGCCTGAAGGCAGCAGACCGCTGGTGAGACCTAGATGTAGGTGGGAGCATAATATCAGGTGGGATCTATGCGAGATAGGAGTTGAAGGCAGTTGGATTTTGCTGGCCCAGGACAGGAACCGGTGGAGGTCTTTGGTTCGTTCGGTGATGAATCTTTGGGTTCCTTAAGCCATCTAGTTCGTTAGAAAGGGACAGTCTTTGAATCTGGACTTTTCAGTCCAGTGGACAACAAAGATGGCTTGTCTTCTGGGTTGTAGCGCCGTGTAATTTGGTAGATGAGTACTTATCGCCCTGATGATGGAGGCAGCAACGACATCTGAAACTTTTGTAAACTTATACCAGATTACTCGGCGCTACAACACAAAAGACTCGTACTCACATCGATGTGAACTTCAAATCCGACCTACTGCATAACACTAATGCGTCGTGTTTAGAGAGTTGCGGGTTCGATTTTCTCTCTCTGACCCTCTGAGCAAATTCTGGTATAGTACCTTGTGTATACACCACCACTTCCTTACACGTCATTTATTATTCGTTCATCACCCTGTTCGTTGGTACTGTACTGACGTATGCAGGTGTAAAAGGGTAGCTCAAGAAACGATACGCCAAGTAGGAAATAATACTGTTTTATCTTCTTCTAGTCACTGGAACTCTTATGTGGGGGGGGGGGGGGGGGTCCCCCTTATAGATTTTGTAATGCGGTTAGTGAACACTCAAAATGTGAATGGCCATGTAGACAATTGGGGGTTGAAAAAGTATGATGAAATGGGACTTTTCGCCGTTTTGTTAGCAGTGAATTACTTCATACCGACACTATGACCGAGGTTTTTAGTCTCTTGAACCGGAAGCTGCAGACTACCACTCTTGTTCATGATGGATGAAATCTTTCATCAGCATTATCCTCATGTTTACACATAATCATGATACCACTGGACGTCAGTACTGGGATCATATGTCGTGACCTGTCTGTTGAGTAATATTCAGCGTGATAATTGTTTTCGTAGAGATGACGTTAACTGTCTGTTAGAGATCCATTTTGCGAAGACTAAAGATCTCATATTGCATGCAGATATACGAGTATAAGCATTGGATTTCATATTCTCAGCGCTGCGCTTCTTTTGCGTTGATTGTTTTTGAAAGTTCAAGACCAAGATCAACACCTGGAAAGTGAAACAGAACGCAGTGTAAACGAAGTCACTACACACAAAGAATGCTTGATAAGAAGATGAAAGAATATGCACATGTCAGTGGTAGACTACTCTATGCGCCATAAATAATTAAAAAATAGAATTTCTTATTAGGAAGATGGGATATTTGTTTCTAACTTTATCAGATATAAAAGACTTTTCTTCTAAGTAAATATGACAACTGCACACCCGATGGTATTCCTTTAATATATGATGTATGGCAAAACACTTGGTGTGGAATCCTGGCTTCCTTCGACATGTGTCAGAATAAAACGACTTTACTCTCCTGCCTCCTATCACTATTATAAGGTACACAAAGTCTTACTAGGAAAACTTGGATAGAACTATTACAAAGCAGAAGGCTTGAATGATATGCTGACACTGTTTGCCAACCTCAGTTTGACTCCAGATCACGTGAAAAATGCGTAAAATACGTGGCGGACTCAGTCCGACATCGGACTGGAACTCGGATATTTAAATGTCGGGCTCAGATGGATGTTAGAATGACTTTCAGGCAAATGTTCGACAGAGAGGGTAAAAAATTACCGCTGTTTATAAGGTTCATTTATAGATATAATTTTACACAATATGAATATTTCAGAAATACCCTCCAACATTTCATGCAAAACAATAGTCTAGTATTTGGTGAGTGATGAAAATTGGAAATGCACTGAAACTGTGGCTGCTTTAACAAGATGGATATAAGAGTTCCTTTAGGCTTTCAAGGAAAGTTTTAGGTCCAGTTATCATATGACAGTGAAGTAGTATAAGTTTGTAGTAGTCATATTTTTATAATCTGCACAGAAGAATTTTGTATAATTGTATTAAATTGCTAATTCTGTTTTTTCTCTCTCACTCCTTTCCCATTTTTCTGTTTCTGCTGAGCATAATTTTATATTCAGCATTAATGTGTTTGGTTTGAATAGTAGTTTAAACTGGCATTCTAGAGATAGTGTTTGATAAAAGTTTTGTGAGGTCATTTACATGAGAACTTTTGTCATGTTATTATAACTTGCCACTGTTACAAAACTAGTATTCAGAGAATTCTGGATTCAGTCCTGAGTCCTCTGACTAATGTAGATGAGAAAAATTGAAACATTTCAGTAATGGCAACCAATCACCTAGATGGGAGCAGTGCCAAGTCTTTAAAATTGCATCTGCATTAAATTTATTTCAGAAACTGGGTAGTGCATTATAATAAGAAGTACAGTGTCTCACAAAGTACATCTGTTATGGCAGAAATTAACATACGCGTAGAGGCTTTTACTTTCATGCGCTAGAGATCCATTTGCATAGCTGATATGAGAAAGTAATGACCTGATCTTCATAGTTACATGTTCAGGGTCCAAAAGATACAGAGCTGCTAAAGGAAACAGATTAATTATTCCAGGGATATGATTAAGGCCTTATTAGTATCTGACTCATTTCTTTTGGGAGTCTGGTATAAAAATGGTATGATCTCACTGAAATAAAATACTGATTGGAGGTGTGTGCTATGAATTACTTTCAGGATCCAGTTAATTTGGGTTGGAACACCTGTGCGATAGAGTCTGGAAGATGGTTCTTTTAGGACCAGGTAAAAGAAACTGTTATGAAATAACATATAATACATATTGCATTTTATTTTTAGGCAGTAATATTCCAATACTGTTGAAGAAATGGCTTCTTCTGAATCAGTGAAGACGGTAATTAGCAAGGAGGAGACAGGTCTCACACATGAATGTGGTGTGTTTGGTTGCGTTGCTACCGGAGAGTGGCCCACACAGATTGATGTTGCTCAAGTTATCTGCCTCGGACTCGTCGCTTTGCAACACAGGTAATGTCGAGTAGTCTACTCTCCAGTACAAAATATTCTTTATTTTGCAGAGTGTTACTAAAAATGATGCATAATTAGTGCTATGTGGTTATGTAGCAATAAGCTCAGTGAACAAAGTAACTGGGTACGTGATGAATAGCTGTGGTTCATATCCTAAGATACTGCTAGGAAATTCAAATATAATAACACTATAAATATGTGTATAATGTAACACATGTTTTCTTCAGAGGACAAGAAAGTGCTGGGATTGTAACGAGCGAAGGCAACAATGCAAAGGCATTCCGGGTCCACAAGGGAATGGGGATGATTAGTAACGTCTTCAGTGATGACTCAATGAAGAAGTTGAGGGGTAAGCTGAAGTATGAATGATTACGCTTTGTTAAAGTAGTGATATAACAAGTATTCAAGGACCCAGTGACGAAAATTGCATCAGTAATAGTAATTATCAAATCCTTGCTATGCTGAGTTAAATTTAGAAAATGCCTTCGTTTTCTTGAATAGTTCTTTGCTGATTTATAATAAAAGAACATGTATGTGCCAGTTAAAGAGATCCATAATTTAACATATTAACATTTGGGAGCAAGTATTAATTGCCTAAGCATGACAGACAAATAAAATATTGTGATTAAAAATTATATTCTATAAAGGCACAGCATGTAACAAATACAAAGAAACGTGAAAAAATGTCAACAAGGCAAGAGCTTAACAAAGAAATGTCAGTACAGGGTGATGAGGTGGTAAAATTGGGCTTCAAAAAATCTCACTGTTTTTAAGATACTTTATGATTATTAAATGTGTAGAAATTAATTTTAATTTAATGTGTCATAACACACTTGTTCAGAAACACTGGGATTTAATGATCATTGTCGATTGTAATCATGCATTGTTGTTATGTTGTAGGAAATCTGGGAATTGGGCACACACGTTACTCAACAAGTGCAGCGTCAGAAGAAGTTAACTGCCAACCATTTGTTGTTCACACAGCCCATGGGGCACTGGCTGTTGCACACAATGGAGAAATTGTAAACTGTGGATCATTGCGCAAAATGGTGTGTGTTTGGTTCTTATTATTCTCATTTTTCTTGTACTTGTGTGAATGTTAATTATGTCTGTGGAAAACCGCTTGAGTAATATTGTAAAGACTATGTAAGATTTGAGGTTTTCACAGTGGTGAGTATGAAGATTCCTGTCTTCTGGGTTGTTGCGCTGTGTAGTCTGGTTGATGTTAACCAACGTTTCAGAGGTCGTACTGCCTCTGTCATCAGGGCGATGAATGTGAACAATAAACGGCTGCAAAATTATTGTTTTATGGCAAATATACTATTCTGTTTAACTTTTAGAGAAAAAATTATATAAAAATTGTGTAAGAATTAGTCTTTAAAAGAAGATTTCTGTCTTCTGGGTTGTTGCGCTGTGTAGTCTGGTCGATGTTAACCAACGTTTCAGAGGTCATACTGCCTCCGTCATCAGGGCTATGAATATGCCAATAGGGGGTGTGGGGCTAGGTTTATAGGTGCTGGAATGTGAATGGAGTAGCCTGCCCCCAGCCACACCCTATTGGATTATTCATCACCCTGATGATGGAGGCAGTATGATCTCTGAAATGTTGGTTAACATCGACCAGACTACACGGCGCAACAACCCAGAAGACAGAAATCTTCAAGAGTTTGTATATTTTCCATGTAATGCACTTTGAAAAGAAAAACTTAAAATTAACCAGGATATTGTTTATAATATTGTAATGTGTCACCCTTCTTTTTCTTATAGGAGAAAATTGTAAATTGATCTGACACTGTGATGTGTCTACAGGTACTGGGCCGAGGAGTGGGTCTCTCCACTCACTCTGATAGTGAGCTAATCACACAGGCTCTTTGTCTGAACCCCCCAGAAGGTGAGGTTAATGGACCTGACTGGCCGGCAAGAATCAAGCACCTGATGCAACTGGCTCCTCTCTCATACTCGCTTGTTATCATGCAGAAGGATCGTATATATGGTGTGCGTGACCCATATGGCAACAGGCCTCTCTGCATCGGGAAGATAGTCCCCCTCAAACTTACAAATGGTTAGAGACAACTGCTGCTTATATGAAGCATTTTAGTGACATGAAGGACTCTGGTGGTTGTGTGAAGAACTTCGGTTACATGAAAGATTCTTTCAGAGTTAGAGAGAATTTTTTTTATCCTATAAAAAGAAAAAGTTTTGCCTATGATTTTTTGTAGTCAGAAGTTTTGAAAGTTTGTGAAACTGAAAGAACATGGTGTTTTTAACACAATGTGTCCTGCTTTCTAGAACTACGTTTCCTAGGAACCATATATTTAAATGACTGAAATGGTAAAATCAACGAGTTGTGGTGATGGATTAGCTCTCTGACTGTTTACTGTGCCATGAGTCAGGTTCATATTCAGTGCAAAATGTGAAAATTTAATAGAATTTTTGCTGTGCGGAGGTGAATTTATTTTTATTTTGTCATGTCATTTTGAATAGGGTCAAATATAACCTGCCTATGGTTATGAACTGTCATGTGTCCATAACAACATGATTTTTTTTATTGATTATCTGTTAGATACTTTAAAAAGGAGAGCCTATACTGTATAATTGAAACAGCCTTTTGTTTTATTACTGTGCATGAAATGTATAATTTTTGCATATTTTAAAAATTTCTTTCCTTTTACTTTGGTTTGGACATTTGCTCCTGTACCAGGTTTTTACTATTCTCATTCTGTACATGTATTTAATGCTCTCTCTTGTAAGATGTTTTGTATAATCTTTATTTTATTTATATTTTGTCATAAATAACATTGTTTTTCTTGATGTAGGTCTGTGGAATTATGTTGTAAGTTTGAGGGTTGCGTACTTATATTCGAATACCTATGAAATTGTAGTTGTTATAATTTTTGTGATCTATTTTGTATTGCAGGTAACAAAAATGAAGATGAAATGGAAGAAGGTTGGGTTATCTCATCTGAGTCCTGTGGCTTCTTGTCAATTGGGGCACGGTATGAACGGGAGGTGGCTCCTGGAGAAATTGTTGAAATGACTAAAGATGGTATCAAGACTATTGGCATTGTTGAACGACCAAATGCCAAACCACAAGCCTTCTGTATATTTGAATATGTGTACTTTGCTCGTTCTGACAGCATATTTGAGGGTTTGTGTATTTTTTAAAATATTTTTGGCAGATAATTACACTTTCTGATAATGATGTTTATAATTTCCACTTTGAATTATAAAGAATTAATTTCTTACATGTCATTTAATACTTATCAAGAAGAAGGTAATTTCCAGTTGATTCTGGTAAAATAATAATAAATATCCTGAAGACTGGTGTCATGTTGGTATTACAATGTATTACACAAATAATAGTCTACAAATCTAATTCTTTTGAGCATTCCAAAACATTCTTCATGTGATATTAAAATCTGAAAAAATGTTATGCGCATTCTGAGGGGTGCAGTGACCAGCACCAAAACTGTCCTCTTCCTCACGACAGAACTTATTTACACCATTAAATGCAACCCAAGATGGAAAGGAAAATAATAGTTTTGCTCAACACAAATAATTTAATTTCTTAGAACAAATTTTTGTTATAAGATATTAACTTTTTAAGCTCTGGTGAAATATATATACATATATGTCTTACTGACTGTTGTTTGGGATGCACTGAAATAGGACGTTCTGTATTGAAGATAAATTGTGTGTTAGATTTTACAGTTGGCCTGATACCAAGCTTGAAACTTCCTTTGTTTTCTTTGAAGGACAAATGGTGTATTCTGTAAGGATGCAGTGTGGACGAGTATTAGCAAGAGAAGCGCATGTGAATGCTGACATTGTTAGTTCAGTTCCTGAATCAGGAACTGCAGCCGCCCATGGCTTCTCCAGGGAGGTATGTGAGACTTGTTTTTATCAATTAAAGTAGAATTTAATGTGATTATGCGTATTTATTTTTATAGAACTGCGGTTGTACATTATTGCATTCCAGATTCCACTTGTATAGAACCAAATGAAGGAAGTAATTAGAGTCTGACAAAGAGAGAATTTAAATATAAACACTTTCACATTTGAATAAAATATACATGTTACAGTATATTTTTTCATTGCCTCGGTATGTTACTTCTTTTTAATCGTAGTGTTAAAATGCAACATTTTTGGGAGATAAAAATCTTTCAGTAATGTTTATCTTACTGTTAGTGCCGTTTATGTGTATAGCATTTAAAAGTGATAGTGAATTTTCCATCATTTTGTGTTTTCAGTCAAAGATACCCTTCGCCGAGGTGCTTTGTAAAAATCGCTATGTGGGAAGGACATTCATCCAGCCTAGTACACGGCTTAGGCAACTCGGCGTAGCTAAGAAGTTTGGTGCTCTGTCAGAAAATGTGCTTGGCAAAAAACTGGTTCTCGTTGACGACTCTATTGTCAGAGGCAATACTATTGGGCCTATAATCAAGCTGTTGAGAGATGCTGGTGCAAAGGAGGTAACATTATACAGACTTACCAATTGTTGAACATTTCTTTTTCTTTCTTGCCCCCCCCACCTCCATTTTAGGACAGGTATATAATTAATATTGTGGGTACATTTGAAAGAATCTCATACATTTATGGATATGTACTTTTAACAGATCATAATTTGTAATGAGGTTTGCATCACAGTTTAAATCAAAGTGAAATGTATGTTTGAAGCATGTAACATGAGGATGAACACTTTCTTCTTCTTCTATGGCTCTACGGTCTGTATTCGGTCCATGGCCTTCTCAATTCTCCTCTTCCATTTGGTCCTCTTTTAGGTCCGTCTGTCCGAGACTTTGATCGAGGTTTCGAAACATCTTCCTTTTTACGGTGCAAGGTTGTTAGCCTTGCGACCAACCCCCAACCTGGAGGACCAGGACACCTGTCTTAGACTGACCTCTCCCCCTCGACCAATCTGGCTAAGGAGGCCCTACCAGTAGCTATGCTACTGCCAGCATAGCTCTTGGGATCACTGAGGTACTCAAGCCCCACGACCACGACAAGGATGAACACTTTAGAAACTATTATTGACGTTTGTCAGAAGTTTGTCTGTATTTCAGTCTCTGCTATTCCCTAATTTGTTGTAACACAATTTTACTTTTGTTATTTTCGTTTTTCATAAATAGTTCTCGGTAAAATACAACGTTGTTATTCCCGGAAAGAACCCTTGAGTGTACTAACATGACAAAAGTATTTTGTATTTCGTAAGGAATTGCTTTATATGATTTAAGTCAAGTGGGCCATCTTCATACTTGTCATCATTCGAACTTCACGTCACCCAGACTTGACCAAATGTTTTTCTTTCAGGTTCATGTAAGAGTAGCCTCACCACCTCTTCTGTATCCATGCTACATGGGTATTAACATTCCAACAAGAGAAGAACTCATTGCAAACAAGTTAGATCCTTTGAAACTGGCGAAACATGTGGGTAAGTTTTTTAAAATAAAAAAACAGCATTAATTGTTAATAACCCTCTCTTGGTCTGAAAATGAGTTGTTTCTGAGATACCTGTTCTTTGCTTGTGGTAGTTGTGGTTTATTTAACATTGCTATCATTAGCTCAGACTGTGTAGTGGATGATAATATGATTAATGAATTGGAAGGGATATAGAAGGAAGCAGTATGTGTTTGTCTTCAGTGTTAGAAATGCGGTCTCATAACTGCAGAGATTATTTAAACATATGAGGTACCGTATACCTATGTGACAGCTCTGCTTTTCAGGTGCTGACAGTCTAGCATACCTGTCCGTAGAAGGTCTGGTTCAGGCTGTGAGGTACCGAATCGCAGAGAAGAACGCGAGTAAAGTTGGTCACTGCACAGCCTGCCTTACAGGGAACTATCCAGAAAAACTTGAATGGTAGCAGACTGTAGCAGCCAGGCTGAATCCTTACCTCAACCAGTCCTCCAGTCACGTAAGGCAGCAGTGGTCATCTATGAAGCACGATATCCAATTCTTGCCTAAAATCTTCATACTGTAGCTAACTGAAGAGAGGATGCTAAAGTGTATGGTACAGACATAATGTGCTGTAAAACACATTTGCAAGGTTTCTAACTGTAGAGTATAAATTAACCCTTCAGCTGTTTTCGATGAAGTGTCTTGTGCACCGTCTCCATCTTACGTGGTTTGGATGAGATGCCTCATAACATGAATGCATTGTGTTCCTGCTGTAGGATTTCTTTTTAATCATGTGGTCAGCCTCAAGAGTGGTGCATCTTCATATAATAAAAGGTAAATATATGTTCCTTCTGTAGCTTGCATTAGTTCTGAAAAATTGGAAAACCGTATGCTAAATATATAAAACGCTAACATCCTCACTTCATGGAACAGAGTCCTTGAGAATTTAATAGTTGCTCATTTTATCAGTAAATTCCTTATCTTTTATGGAATCAGTCGGTTCATTATTGTGTTCACAAGAACTTACAATTGGCCACTGTCCTGAACCACATGAATCCAGCCCATACTCTTTTTCTTTTTAAGATTCATTTTATTATCTTCCTATTTATGCTACATCTCCCAATTGGTCTCTTCCCCTCAAGTTTTCCTGTGTGTATTTCTCATCTCTCCTGTAGTTCATTTTATTATGATGGCATGTGATTTTATGCTTGGAGAATTTTTACGGAGTATCATCTAAGGCATGACGTGATGATGTATACTGGTGAATGTTACTGTACATGTTCTGCGTCCATTTTATACATGTTGATTCATCTCCTAGACAGCTTTAGATGTGTACATTATGATCATTAAGGAAACACCATATTTTTTATCCTTCCCATCCCCAACAGGCAGAGGATTAAAATGTGTTTTATTTCAAGATCCCATCAAAGTTATTATTTTCTCTGCCTGTGTTAATCTTACAAGTTAAAGATGTGGACTAGTTAGTTAGGTGTCTACTTAGCAGCCATATAGCCGTAGTCATACCATAACTTGTCAGAACTGCCATAGAAGGCATATATATTACTCTTCTTGTATACACATAATCCATAATTTCTTTGCACAGTAACAATCACCAATAGAAGATTATATATCTTTACTGTATTGTTAATCTATAAAATTTCACTAACCATATATCTGACCACAGTCATAATGTAATTAATTGTAATTTTACTTTTTTTTAGCCACACAGAGACTGGGATTGTGGGTTCAAAATGCCATTTGAGGAATTTTATCTGTCTTGTTGGCCTTTATAGGTAGAGACCTTGCAGTGGGGTGGGCTCCTGAGCCAAGCCAAATATCTAACATTCGTTATTTAAGAATTCTGAATTGAAAGAAATTGGAGGGTTTAATATCTGTTAACTAAAGAAATAAAATGTTATACAATAATATATGTGAGAGTGATCTTTAGTTACAACCTGGAAAAATTTAATCGAACATCAAAAGTTTTAATCTTTATTTATAACAGAAAAAAAAGATACAATAATTGTGAAGACTTTTGTATTATGGCTTAGTTTCCTGATGTGGGTATTAGTATGAAACAAAAATCTCATCTTATATTTGGATGATTAAAATATTTTCAAATAAATATGATCATTGCTAATTTATTTTGATTCACAAATTTGATGACTACAGCTAATTTGGATTTAATGCTAGATATGCTTTATATAGCTTTCTTCTTGTATGCAGAATATTTAGATTGTTCATGGATCTGACATTGCAGCTTGAGTGATTACACAACTGAGAAGTCTGGTCTGAAATGTCAAGACTACCTTTTGTGAAAGTATTATATGTTATACATATTTATAATTTTATTAACAGCACTTCCAGGAAGCCTATTTTTATGTTCTCTTCACCATGTTGGCTATTATACTAGAGTAAAACTAAACCTCATAAGTAATATGTATTAATCACGTATGCTAATTGTGCCTGTCAACATAGCACAAGTATAGTGCTGTTATTTGAAGGAATAACTCGGCATTTGATTATTAAGGATTTAAGCATTCATAATATCTGATTCTCTATGGCAAATGATGTAGTAGTATAGGCCATATAATACTCTTGAATGCAAAAGTTATGTTAGTGCCCCCCCCCCAAGTACTGAAATGCAGGACAGTTATTAAAGGAAGCATTTTTGTTTTTCTCTTGTTCTCTGATACTATGGTTGTGAACAATCCAGAAGAAAGTAAGTACCACTAATACGAAAGCTGGCCATTTGGCTTTTCTTCATCTTCTGTTCTCACAGTCTTTTTCCCTAAGATTCATCTTAATGCTATCCTGCAGTCTGTTATGGACAGATACTTTACTCTTGTTGAACTTTTTGTTGCTCAAAAACTATTGCACATAGCGGTTTAATTTCTCTCTGTCATTCCACTGAAACGATACAAGTAACAAGAATACAAGAATAAACTGGGAGAAAAAAGGAAGTAAACATAGAACATAGAAAATTTCCTTAGTAATAAACAGAAGCTAAGTTATATTTATTTCTAGTAAAACTATTTGAAGTCCTTCATGATATTTCTTAGAAGATAGACATTTCAGTCTAGAATAGTTCAAGAAGACTGCACATTAAGGCAATTTTCTTATGTAGTTGGTAATTTATCTCTCTTGGTGGTAGAAACTGTTTCTGTGTGGACTTAACACACACAAAAACTCCTGGATTTTTTTAGAGTAACTTTTGGTGTGGAAACAAATGTCAGTCCTCTCTCTATATATATATTTATATATATATATATACACACATATTTAAAAATATGGTAGTATGTAAGTTTATACCCATGTGACCAATAGGTTGTCCTCTCCAAGCAACATTTTACCATGTAACTTTAATAGTTTTTGAAATATTATTTTACATGTAAATACTTATCTAGCCCTAATTGTGTTGTGCTTATTTTTATTTTATTTTGTTATTTTACTATGTATTTTAAACTGACTGTGTTCTGTTAAAGAGGAAAGAACTGTAGAAGGTACAAAACATTTTTCTGTGATGCCTAATTACAGACAAGATTTGATAGAGGTAACAGTTAGGTATTGCACAACTGTCTGTCCCTACATAAAATTTTGCTCTTCATTTGTGACAGAATGTACAAAGTTTTCTGAATATTTCTAAAATTAATATTATTATTTCAGGTTAGTGCAAAAACTTGTTAACTTGTCTGAGAACGTAACATTTGTCTCTCATTCTCTACAACTGCCAAATCAGTGAGACTACTGAGGTCTCTGTTAATATAACAGTATTTTTACTCTATACTGTAGCTGCATATGTGCAATCATTGAATTACCAATGTCAATTATCTGTACTTATTATAAACATACTGTGTTATGGTGAACACAAAATAAATATACTGTACTTATTGAAATGAATATGCTGAGTCACAGTAACTCATGCAAAGTCATGGTTCTTGATAGTTGAGGGTTGAAGAATGGTCATTGATTACTGACCAACACATTTGGAATGGCTTGAGGTCTGCATACAATCTGTCCCTGATGGTATTGGGATTGTCTCCCCTGGTGTTACAAGATTTGAGTTAGAAGTTTAAGATGAACATTCATCTCCTCTTAGTGCAAAGGTTGAATATTGAATGTCTGGAGCCATTCCTGTGCCCCCAATGTACAATGGCACATGTAGCTCAGTCCTTTCATTTACTTATACATTCCCATTAGAGATTCATAGTAAAATGTTATACATGTTTACTAAGCCTAATTCATCATTATTTGTATTACATGTAGGAAAATATCTACCATTTTTGTACATTGCTCAACTATATATAATAAATATATATTTTTTTCCTACTTTACATTTACTTTCCAGTCTCTCCATTCCTTGTTCCATAGAAACTTGGTAATATGTATTTAGTCTTTAACATGGAGGAAAAGAAGCCAGCCACATACTATATAGGTTATGTGAACCCAGTTTTATATGAATTATGTTGTTTGGTTTGAAATTTGTTTTTTATAAGTTTTTTAGAGCTAGCAGAGCTGTTGGGTCAAGATTTTCCTTCAAGAAGTGGTCGGCAATGGACAGATAAATCAGTCTGTGGCTTCTTCCATGCAAAAACACGTCTGCCACACACTTTGGGTATGGTATGACTCTTTGCACTTTTGTAATAATTCAGTGTTTCTGTATTTTTGGTATCATATTTACAGTTTATCAGCTTTGTATAGGATTGCCACTTGAGTATTTATCTTTAACATTAAACATTGTCAATGTAAAAGTGTGCTGTTGTCGAGGCTAGCCCTCTGTCACTGGTTATGGAGTAGCTTTAACTGATGGATTTTATTTAATGTGATCTGTAGAGTAGTACCCCTTTTTTCTACCAGACAGAGGTGGAGACAAAGGTATCCTATGAAATATCTTGTATCTTTTTATCTTGACACTCAACAGTGTCCAAGAAAATAAAACAATTTCAATAATATTCCAAAAGCCATTAGAACCACTTCACCTAGATCATTGTTACATATAATTTATTCATCTATGTTCATGCAGTGTGGGTTTTATGATAGGCAGGGCTGTATTAAAACTGGTAAAACTGTCCAGTCAGATCCATCTTTGAATTTAATCCACATATTTCTCAAAGACAACATGAATTCATAACTCAGAATTGTTGTAAATTATTCTCTTCCCTTCCGCTGTATTCGCGCTCAAACTGAAAGCTAAGACTGCAGTTATAAACTAAAACATATGCTTTATCTTTCAGGTTTGGCAATTTTAACCCCAAAATTGCAGGGCTACCAGCTGAACTATAACTACTGGGCCTAACAGTTGAATGATATGCTACTGTGATGCATACCCAGCCGGATCGCACATAAGCAGTGACACGATTGATAAAGCTTAACCATACATAAGAAAAACAATAACTGGATTTAGTTCAATTTAATTTATTTAAAACAAAATTACTGGTACATGATTCTTGGTCAGATTTCAACCTGATTACATCAGAACTGAGTGTATCATTAAGTATAACATTATCTCTGAAGCTTATAAGAAAAAAATCATTTTTAAACATTCCATTATGTCAGTGCCCTTGCAACAATCTAGTCATCCCTTCCTTGATAATCTTCAGGGTGGCCATGTCAGTCTGGATTGTCTCAATTAAGTGGGCCATGCCATTCTGTTCCATAACCAAAAACTGAAAAAAAACAAATCATTAAATGAAACAGCATAACAAACAGTAAAATCATTACATTAATATTATTAATTTTCCAGTCTTGGCTTATTCTATTGAATCATTACTTAATAATAACAAAAACCTACACAAATATAATTCTTAAGATCTCATATAAATCAATGTCATAATTTCAGTAGTTTTAGGGTGATTAAATCAGGAAGGATGAGGATAAGTGGAATACTGGTATGTGTGGGGAAACTATATTTTTGTTACATCTGAGATGAGAATTTAAGAATACTGATAATGTTTAACCTGTTTGATATCATCCTGTATAGATGGATCCATCGAATAGCGCTCTACTTCTCTTTGAGCTGCCTCTTGTCTCTGCATTCGCATCTGTGACAGCAATTCACTTACTTGACCCTACACACAGAAACCAAATTACTTAGCTTGTCAAAAAATTCTAGGAAGAATGTATGACATATGCTTTATTATAGATTTTACCTTGAACTGTGCCGGTGCATTAAGCTGGTTGTGAAGTGCCTCTAATTGGCTCCTAAGGGCTTCTTCTTCAGGTTGCAGAGCAAGACCCACTTTCCGTGATACCTCCTGCTTCACGAGGACCTGTTATAGCAAAACAAAATATTACTTCTGATTAGGTAAGTCTGCATAATAATATATTTTACATGCATACAAATGCTTACAGAATTCTTGAAAATACTGAGTAAAGATTGTTAAATGGACCAAAGTATAAATGCCAGGAAAATGTTAAAATTGATCTTACATGAATATGGTGGGGGTGTGGACTTTATTCACCTGGCTTGGGGTAAGGTCCCATTAGCGGACTTCTGTGAACACAGAGTGAACCTTCAGGTATCATTAAAGCAGGATTTTCTTGACCAGACAAGCAACTAATAACTTCTGACCCTCTACCATGGAGTTAAAAATGTTTTATATATCAAACTTTTGTGATGAGGCTTATGGATAATAAATATGAAATGATGGAATCTGTTTTAAGTTCCTAACGTTAATATTGAGCAGCAGTTCCCTGTGTTTTCCACAAGTCTACACGTCAAGTCAGCACATGCTCATTTTTTTGTACCTCACTGAAAACGGTGACATTTTCCCAAATTTCTCTCATTTTTTCTGGCAATGACAAGAATAAATGGACTGAGCAAGAGATGTGAACATTAGTAAAGTTTTAAAATGACTGTGATTAGGGCCGATCATAAAAAACTTGGTCAAGGCAGCTCAGCCCACAATTCAATCCAAGAACCTTCAAAATGCAAGTTAAATGCAACATAACAATTGGATCAATGTTAAGACAAGATATATGACAGACCTGGAGCACTCGGTGTTCTAACTCTTGGAATTTGCGACGATATTCTGCGATCTTGGCAACAGTAGCTGTGTGGCGTCGCTGTAACTCTGCAATATCCTCAGCTACACGATCCAAGAATGCCTGGTGTAATTTAGTCTCTTGCTCTTGACACTTCATTCGCCAACGTACTTCACCAAATCCAATCACTGGTACTGGGATATACTTTTCAGGGTTTGGATTGTCCAGTTGGGCCTGTTTCCACAGTCGAGGGTCAATGCCTACAAAAAGAAGTGAACATCTAAGAGCACATTTCATGGCTGGAAGACTGCCTTTCTCAGATTCTGGCTGTGAAAATTTAATATACTTTTCACTCTAGATTGCCAGCCATTAGAAACAATATACATGCAGATGAGAGAGATCTTGTCTCCAGCAATAGGAGTAACAGCGGCAGAGGG